TTGTGTTGTCTGTGTGTTGTGTTGTCTGTGTGTTGTGTTGTCTGTGTGTTGTGTTGTCTGTGTGTTGTGTTGTCTGTGTTTGTGTTGTGCTGTCTGTGTATGTGTTGTGTTGTGCTGAAAGTGTGTGCTGTGTGTTTATTCCAGGTATCTGAGTGAGTTTGCATGTTGTGCTGTATGGGATGGGTTCTGTGTGCTGTGTATTTATACCTTGCTTACACACGACTATAACAGGTGTGTATGTGTGCTGTGTATTTATACCGTGCGATGTGTGTTGTGATATGCATGCCAGTAACACAGGTGTATGTGTGCTGTGTATTTCTACCGTACAATGTGTGTTGTGATATGCATGCCAGTAACGCAGGTGTGTGTGTGTGTGTGTGTGTGTACATTCTGAGCTTACATACAGAGATCCCGTTGTCTGTTGAGTGGAAGGCTTCGTTCTACGTCACTGCTCCACATGGCGTACGATGGAGACTTACTGCAGGCAGTCACTATGCTGTGTTGTGTTGCATTATGATGTATTATGTTGTGCTGCATTGTCTTGTGATGTGATGTGTTGTATTGTGTTGTATTGTGATGTGTTGTATTGTGTTGTGCTGCATTGTCTTGTGATGTGTTGTATTGTGTTGTGCTGCATTGTCTTGTGATGTGTTGTGTTGTGTTGTGCTGCGTTGTGATGTGATGTGTTGTATTGTGTTGTATTGGACTGCACTGTTGTTTCCTGGTCCCCCGTGTGTGCGTCTGTGGCCAGCTGTCCCTCGTGTGTGCGTCTGTGGCCAGCTGTCCCCCGTGATGAGACGTGATGATGTTTGTTAGTTTCCAATTATACCGTCCCCGTGGTTTTCCTGTGCCAGTAGATGTAGACGTGATGAAACATGATGATGTTTGTTAGTTTCTAATTTTTTCCCCTGTTTTCCTGTGCCAGTAGATGTAGACGAGTCCTCGTTCCAGGGTATGTGTGTTCCTCCTCCGCTTGTAACCCCCGCCCTCACCACATGTGTGTCGCAGCACGCTGGAATCACGCGCTATGCAGTTTTGGGGCATTTGAAATTATTGGTATCATCTTAAAACATGTTCTTTAGTCTTACATTTAAGAAAAAAGCCCAAACTTTTCTATCTTCATTGGAAGTTGAGATGTTTGTCTTTGAAGGAGATGGGGTCACCTGACATCGGAGGTAAAATAAGCAAGGAATTTGTGGCCAAAGTTTGGTGACTTTCAAAGATTTAATGTACCTGGGGACTGCAGATTTTCATTTTTTGTGCCTTTGATCAAAGATTTTCAATCAAGTCCCCACAGAAGAAATGTGTTTTTTAATGGATATGAAAGGTGCTAATCAAAAAGAAAAATGCAATACAAATTGCCCAACAGACAGAAAATGGTCAGTTTCTCTGATGTCATCGTTTGGACGACCAGCGCCTGATTTCCACGTGTTGCCCCACACATGTTGCCTCCATAACCCC